TTTAAACTTGAGTATGAACTTATACAAAATGCAGCACGATATTAAAACAAAAACAGTTTTATTGATTAAAAAAAAACACTATATCGGATTCATATCAGTATCGGCAGATATCCAAATTTATGATATCGGTATTGGACTTAAAGTGGTATCGTGCCATCTCTAGTACCTACCTTTGCGTTATTGAGGGGATCAGAAAGGACACTTTCAGCTTCCACAATCAGCTCTGTGAGGTTGCGAACCTTCCGCATCTGAGAAACAACAAGGATATGTACAGTGTAAATCATATATTTGCTCAAGTCTGGCTCTTAGCAGTGAAACAGGCAATGCTAAAGTGAAACTGAAGATTTGAACATCTGCTAAAGAATAGTTAGGGATACTGAACTAGTAAATGCAAGCTAAGTTACTAAGTTAAAGTTAGAATTTGACCCACCTTCTGAATAACCTCTTTCCACTTTTGTTTGCATTCCTCCGGAGAAAAAGGAGGGAAGGCCACTTTCTCCCAGTCTAGAGTTCTCTCTCCATGGGTATAACTGAGCTCTTTCTTGTCATCCAGGATGTTGGCTTTCATTGCAGCGAGAAGTTTCTGGAGGTTTTTCTTGCACCATCCTGCACACGTACAGAAAGCACAGTCAACCACGACAAAGGATCCAACGGCCATTAACGAGGCACTCTCATGCTGGGAAGAAAACTGCATATACCCACCAGACTCTTCTGCATTCTTTCCAGCGAGGCTCATGTTTCAAACAGAGCTTGTTTCATTCACACAAGTCCTTGGATGTACCGGCTGCACACAAACTACCCAGACATTTAAACTAAACCACGTTATTCTGCGTGGCAAAGTTAGCTAGTTCGCTAAGCTATCAGACTGATCTAGCTTAAGTTAAAAAGTTTTTACTTTACTGCTGCTGCTCACCCAACAGTACGAAACAAGGCGTAAAACACACGCTGCTCTGTTGGGCAGGAAGTAAACGCGTGCCAACTAGCCAATGAAAAGTGACATTCTTCTTCTTCTACGGGTTTCCCCGCCCTTCTTCTTCGTCGTCTTCACGAATAATTGCACAAATTGGCGCAACACTGCCTTTATCTGGTGGATTGTTGATCAGACGGTAGATTAATGGGAACTCTTTTTTTTTTGTCATTTTATACGATCACAAAAAATGAGTTACCCTAAACCATTTTGTAGCTTATAAATCAAATAAACTACAAAATGTTCTTTCAGCTGTTTCTTCTTAGTATCACTAATAAGATTTGCAAATCACTGCATTCTGTTTTTCCAGTTACATTTTACACAATTTTCAGATTTTCTTGAATTGAGGTTGTGTCTCCTTCCGCTACAGCTAAAACACAAACATCCCAAACTTGAGCCGCTAACACTAATATAAATAAATATTAATACACAGCAGTACTTGGAGAATAGGCGACGCCTCCTTTTCTGGTGTCTCGGACAAAGTGTTTATTCAGAGAATCTAAAGAGAACTGTCTCCAGCAAAAGTTAATAACACTTAGTAAAAATGAAAGCGGAGAGGTTTTTTTTACAGAAGATAGTTTTTTAATTACAGAGATATGAAAAGAAGAAAGCCGAACACACAATATAATTACTTTATACACAATATTATATCTCTCCTCGTATTGCCACACACTCCTTTTTTCTTTCCAGCATAAGCTCTTCTATCATTCCAGCAACAGTGTATACACATCATTTATCATCATATATTACACAATATTCATACAGATTTTAGCTCTTAGATAATAACTTAAGCGTCCATTTTTTACATTCAGTGTGCAGTTGCTTGGAAAAAAAAAACTTTTATAGCTTTTATACCTACAATTTTACACTCAGCTTTCAAGCTCTCTGCTTCTGGACAAAAGGCACATGTAGAATTGCTTCTCTGACATCTTGCACATCCTTTTTTTTTCTCTTTTTTTGTAAAAACATGTAAATGAGAATATTTCCAGGTTCAGTTATGCAAATGATTTACCTGAGTGGCAGTTTACAACAGCTAAATTTACAGTTTAGCAGTTGGCTTTAACAGTTTTACAGGTATGTGGAAAACCCCCCAACATTTTAAGTATTTTTGCGCTAAGAGAAAAAAATTAAGCTACTTATAAAATAAATATCCATTCATTAAAAAAGTCTGTCATGAAAAACATCTACAATGGCATCTGAGATTCACAGTACACGTCCTTCCCAGGCTCCTCCTCAAATGTCACTTTGGCATCATCAGCATCCAACTGAAACACAAGCACAGAAAGAACCGTTTTAAACACACTGCAACACACATACCATCTAAAAAGGTCTGAACTTTCCACAGCGTTCAGCTTACGCATTTCATTTCCAGTTCGGTGAAGAGATGCCCGGTCATAAGCATGCGCAGAGGAATGGTGAGGATGAGAACGAAGGGAAGCGCCAGAGACATCTGACTGGACTTCACAAGCCACAAAACTCCTAGACACACAACCTGGATGGCCGTGTACAGGTGCATTCGTCCTGTGCTCACCTGTAACCAAGACAGACAGACGTCAGCCAAACACAAGTAACTGACGATTTTAAGTAGCTTTGAAAACCTGCCAACACATGCCTAGTTCAAGGACAAATTAAAAGCATAATAAAATTGAAATCATAGAAATAGCCTTAGGTATATAAATGTGCATCTGGCAAATACCTCCCAGCAGTTTTACACAGAACATGATTTTATCACTACAGTCTCAAGCTGGGTAAAAATTAATAAATATAATAGGTAACACAGTAACATCTCATTGTGTTTAGTCTTGCAAAACCACAACTTCATTATTTTCCCCATGAGAAACCTTCTGTTTGCCCCGCTTATGCTAGCGCCATGGACCTCATGTATCATGCAGTGATGAGATGCTTACTCTGGTAGCATAGGGTTCATTAGGATGGTATTTCTTTGGGATGAGAAGAAGCTGCACACGATCCCACAGCTGAATGCCATTTAACGACGTGATTCCCATGTAGAGGAAGATCCCAAACAAGGCTGCCATAGGAATCATCTTTAGGATGGGCTCCATGAGAACTGACAGACCTTGATACAAGCATACATTCAGATAAATGATAAAGGATCGTACACACACATCAGTTTGAATGCAAAGTATAAGTCTAGCAATGCTTTTGTAGACAGAACTGGGTGATTAGACAGCACCTACCAACAAGCAAGGCCACCACAATGCCGCTTATTCTCTGCTCTATCACTTTCTCTATCACCGGTTTTGGTCCTTTGCTCATGACAGTGAGAGCGTTGGCATGTGTGACAGACCGCACTGTGGCAGCGCTGAGCCACGGCACACCGAATATCGCGCTGAGGCCTCCCATGCCAACTAAAACCAGCAAGTCAAAGTGAAACCCGGAGCCTTTGACCATCTTCCTCTCAGGTTTACTCACTATCAGACTGTTTAGAGCCATAAAGAAGGGAGACGCTCATTAAAGTCATGAATTGTCACTTTTTCTATGGTTCGTGTCAGCTAATAAGACCAACGATGACTCACGTTGTGATCTGAGACTCCAGAAAGATGAGAATAAACACAAGCACGGCTGGGATGCAGGAAGCAAACATCAGCCACACAGGGAAAGGTTTGTGCTCTCCGAAAGGATTGATGAGCCAGCCTCTTTTTTCAGGATTGGACACCGTCAGACCTCTGGGAACGATTAGTTTCTATAAAGAAAAAAAACAACAACATTTTCAATCCAAAGTGTTAAAGGATAGAAATTTGTCTTCAACCAACATTCAGATACCCAAACTCTAAGAAGTATGTCTTCATGCAATTCTTCTTTTTTACACTGGCCATTGATCTCTTTGGAAGTGATGGTTTTTTAGGATGCTGCATTTAGTGTAGAAATGGCAATGTGTATGCAGTTAAAATTAAATATGTTACACTGCAACATGTATAAAAAAGTTAATGGTTCGAGCTGCTTCCTAAATCCACTTTAAATTTTCCATGTAATTTTGTTACAATGTAAACATTAAATTTAATGGAATCTGGTCAAATTAAATTTAGTTAATTGGTAAACATTGAGTTTATACCAAGCTGCTTTTCCGTAAAGATGAATCATTTGAACAAATAAACCTTTGATTTTCATATATTTCGATGCATTTTACTTTAAATTATTGCTTCATGTTTATGAGTGTGCCTTTGTAGTTTGGAGTCACACGCTAACCTGAGTGTACGTATCCTGAACGTTGTAGTCCACAAGCGTCATGAGGACAATGGCAATAGGAACACCAAAGTCACCGATCAAACGCCTGATCTGTTAAACACACATCACCGACATCAAATCTACTATTTGAATTTCATTTCATTTCATTTGGTTTCTTTTAATCCTATTATTTTAAAGTAAAGGTGACCTCATAAATGGAGTGAAACCTTCTGGGCATGAGCTCACCTTTCCAGGAAGGAATGTCCCGTTCTTGAACTGACGCAGGAAGTAAGCAATAAAGAAACAGCCCATCATGAGGCACATAGAGAGCAGGGCTGTGTTGGGGTAAGATGGCTTGATGGTGTTGACAATTAGAGTTTTGTTGCCGGTAGAATTGTCATACGTGACAATCTCTTCGACCTTTGGGTGCCAGGGATACTCGGCACTTGCATTCACGTGTTCGTAATTTAGAATTAGTGGATGCGCCTTGAAGATCTAAAGAAAAGTTAAAGAGCATAGGTGAAAATGACAGCTTATGTTCAACAAATAAATCGCAGATGAGAAATGTTTCAGATTTTATTACAACATGTGACACACACTTTTTAGCCACAATAAATAAAACCACTGAAAGATCAGTTGAACAGCACTGCACCAATGATGTAAAAAGTCATGTGTTAAATCCAATACTCTAGGTCTACAACCAATAAGACCAAAAGGACCTGATGCCAAACACCCAGTGCCAGACACCACAGGGTCCCCAGAGGTCTTGTTTCTTTGCCCCGGTAAGTCAGAGCTATTTTTGTGGAATGAGAGTAACTTGCGCAATATTTGGCTTGAAGTTTTAAAATTGTGGCTGATTGGTGTGTGTGTGTGTGTAATGAATAAAGATTGTTTACCCTCCCAAGTTTGGCAAAAGTTTCATAGATGAAAATGAGGGAGATGAGGATGGAGAAGATTTCCTGGGTGAATCGTGAAATGAAGCGAACCAGGAAGCTGCCCTCAAGGGCCACAATGATCACCACAATGACGACCAGCCACGCTCCCACCCAAACTCTCCCAACAATATACTCAATGCCCTGGGACTTGCAGAACTGAATGATGGAAATGAATGATGATTTGAATTTAGTATTTATGAATGAAAAAATATTAATTGAATTAAAAAAAGACAATAATGGCGTTGTAATGTTTGTTAGGATTAATAAAAAGGCTTTTTAACTCACTGCATAGAAGGCCTCCTCAAATACCAACAGTGGACCAGAAAACCCAATAACCAGGACAGGCTGCGCAGCAACAAAGCAGAATATAATTCCCTGAATGCTGGTGGAAATGAGGAGCTCTGGCACACCCATCATGTTGTCCACCTTATAAGCTACAGGCAAAGATAAAAAAAACAATTTATAGGATCTCCAAAAATACAAAAAACAGAAGAAAAAAAATGGTACCACAGTCATACACACCCAGGAGGCCTCCAAATGTGATGGCAGGAGACAGGGCAGCAAAGTAGATGAAAATGATGGCAGCAAGGACCTGTGCGTTTAGAGCATCGGTGATGTCACTCTTGTAGTACTGGTAGCGCCTTTTTATGTCTCGAATCATCCCCCCAAACGGTCGACCAGTACGAGAAAGGGGATCTTCAATAGGAGGTTTCGAAACGATTGAATCTGGGGAAAATGTGAAATCTGAGCTTAAGCCACTATCAGATCCCAAATAGTTATCCAAATAAGAAACTAAAAGCTGGCAAACAAATAATCTGTTCATCTTAGTAGTTAAAATGTCAGCCAACATGGTAAATGCGTATGACTCACCACTGCAAACTTTGGCGTTGTTGACGAGGTCATAGCTTTGCAGTTTGTCCTGTAGCAGTTTCTTCTGAAAGTTGATGACTGAGCTGAGCATCGCCTCACTCTTGATCTCGGTGGGTGGGATCACGATGCTGCAGTCCATGAACTTGGACACAGCGTTGATCAGCTCTCGAGCACTCTTTGCCTGAAGCGCTGTCTGATTAAACACCTAGCACAGATTGAGCAGAGACAGATATGAAATCTGAAGATTGCAGGATTCTTTCTTAAAAATGAATTTTCCAATAGAAACTGTTAATCAAATATTATTTCACGGGATGATCAATAAATAGAAAAAAATATTAAAACCTTTGTTCAATTAACTTTATTTAGTGTTGGCTCATTTAAATTGCATTTTGAACTTGGACTTGCAACCTGCAATAACCCCTTTTGCCACGTGGGGGCAGTGGAAACAATCTAAAACAAGATAAAGCCATCCATAGGCAATTGCCTCTGGATGTGCCTCGGTATAATTAAAGAAAAAAAGATAATTGTCGATGTCCTTTGATGTGACGGAGTAATACGTTTCCTGAAAAATGATACCACTGGTAATTGCCTGTTACAGTTGCAACAAAAAAACCTAGATTGGAATGAAATTGCTTTAGAGCACAAATGTGAGTAAAAAAAAAGTCACAAAAGAGGAAAAATATTTCTTAAGCTTTCTGCTTTCTTCTCAGTAATGTCACTGTTAAGCCACCTTAACCCTTGCTACTTTCTCTTTTGCTGAAAGAGCCTGAACAGAGAGCGAAGACTTGAATGCTGTTTTTGCAATGAGTAGTATTTTTGTCTTTTAAAAGCCTCAGTCAACTCACTTTATTAGCCATTAGTGCTGCCATAGCACGCCCAGTCTCATAGTAGTCCATGTCGCTGCTGCTGGGGCCAATCAGAAGAAAGACAAAGCGTACAGGCTCTGGGGCTTCCAACGCTGAGTCCAGTGCTACTGCTTCCTTCAGACGCACAAAGACAGCTGTGGGCTTCTCCAGAAAATCCAGGGTTCCTGGTCAAAAGAGGACCCTGCATTAGTTAACTTGCGTTTAACTGCATATTAATCAAAGATTTTTTTTTTCATCTGTTCTAAATGTACCTTAACAGGACATTTTTCATGTTTCTTATATTCTTATGGATAAATCCATTTTCTTTATTCACATTTATGTTTATACTAAGGCCCAGAATATTCTCCAGAAGAACCTCAGAGATGCTGCATGGTCATAAAATACACCAAAAGTGTACTTAACCATGTACTCCCACACAATCTAACTGCCTGCAAGCTAAAGCCACCCATGTACTTATTCACTGTTGAAAGTTTTTTTTTCATTTTAGATTCTCAGCTGAAAGCTATCCAGCATGCTTTTCCTTTGATGTGGGGGAGGAAGGCTCTCTGCATCAGCTGTGTGCTTGAGACTCAATGTACTATGGTGGTAACTTAGTTCAGATCAACTCAAATAACCTTGGTCCTATCAAGGAAACTTTAAAAAAGCTTTAAAGCTGAACCTGCCATTCAGAATACCATTTCTTTATCCATTTGTTTACCATCCACAATGTCACTGCCAGGGATACTGAACTATGGGGGCGGGCCAAAGGTCACAGTCTATGCATGTGTGCATTAACTGCTTGGTTGTGCTGGAGGTTCCTCCCTCTTAAAAGAGAGTTCTTCCTTCTCACTCTTGCCGGTTGCTTGCTCATAGGTGTTTGTCTGATTTTTGTGGATTTCTCCCTAATATTGTTGTGTCTTTACCTTACAGTATAAAGCGCCTTGAGGTTGCTGTTGTTGTAATTTGACACTTTTTGCATTAGGTACACGTGTGCAGCAATCAGAATGTAAACACCAACACTGTACTCCACATCAAACATGAAAAAAGCAGCTTACCCACTAGCACCATGGAGGCCTCAACATGCTCAGATTCATCAGTCTAAGGTAAGGCAGAAAGGAAAAAAGACTTTTCTATTCAAGACTTTGTGCAACAGAACCAACTTTTAAACATGCTGCTTTTGTCAGTTATGCTTAAATAAATGATAATACCAGTGGGACAACTTACTCTCTCCTTGACAGAAAACTTTTGCAGGTCAGTCCCAGTCAACATTTGGCTTTCTGGGTCAGTTGTTTGGCTGAAATGAGAGCAGCACGTCACTGTCATTATCTCTGTGACCCATAACTGAAACTACAGCGGCAAACTACAAACAGTAAACTATTCATTGGTAGTTCTCTGTTCATTGAATAGTTTACAAAAAAAAAAGAAAAGAAAACAAGACTGAAAAGTGGTAAAAATGTCATATTTGATTGAAACTTTTTTTGTAATATTGTTAAGTTTATTTAGAAAAAACAGGAGTTTTCAAATGCACAAAATGACCTATTCAATATTTGAAAAACTTTAAGAGAAATTGCTAGAAATGTAATAAATGAGTCCTTAAGTTGAAATTTTGACATAATAACCTAACTGTGTTGACTTATGGATATCAAGAATGTTTTTTTCACATTGTATTTTGTTTATTCTGCACAAAAAATATCAAAGTATAAAAACAACAATCCATAGCTTTAAATGAATAAAGCTATGGTCCAGACCTATTTTGAGGTTGGGACCACAAGCTTTCTGACTTGTTACCCAGTGGGTGTTCTCACAATCAGAGGGTTTGTTATGCTTATTTTGTTATCTTTGTGATTTAACTCTCAGACTGCACAGAACAAAACAATTATGACAGTGTCCATTGTCTGTGTATAATAAAGGATTCAACAGGCAGACAAAAGGGTTTGATGGTCAGGGATGATGATTCATAATTATAGTTTGGATTCCACAACAGCTACAATAGTGTCAACCACTCTGAGCAAGCGAATGCAGTCTTTTCCTTTTGGAGTCTTGGATAATAGCCGGCTGAATGCCGAGTGTATTTCATTTGTATTTGTGTTTGTATTTGTGGATGGTGTCTCAGACGATACCTGCGGTTTTGCAGCAGAGAGTTCAGCACTCCTTCCCGATCTCCTGACCTGATTTCCTTCTTGTTAACCATCTCACTGACCATCTTCTCTGTGATGGTATCCAGGGTCTTCTCCTCACAGTCTAAAATGGTCACACCTTGGCAAACACAATTTAGAAACATATGTGGTCATGTTCAATAAAAGGGAAAGAACTGCTGCTGTGGTTTAAGAAGGGACTTTAGAAGTAAAAGCCACTAAAGAAGCACTAGAACTAAAGCTATATGTGTCAGGTTGGCTAAGACTGAATTTTACAGATGCTAATCTAAAATAGCTTTTTTGATAATGATATTTTGCAACAACAATCTAAATCAGCAAAGCATTTAGTAAACTGGAATATAAGTATAGACTGCAGCACAGTTTTCCTTTGATCACACTGTAACAGGGAGTGTGACACAGCATGGATTTACATAAAATATCAGTACCTTTAAATCCTATAAAAGTAAAGCACTTCAGAAAATTGAAAATAATTCTAAATAGTGTAAAAAAAAAAACTGTAAATGCTCATGTTTTGCTCACTGACCTGGGCTCATGGTGTGTCTGAGCTGGATAAGGCTCCTGAAGGTGAGGCAAGAGATGGGAGTGGGCACCCACACCTGCGCTTGAGGGTCAAAGCTCTCCTCGTAACCCACCCATCGGCCCTTCTCCTGCCAGTAGCCCTGCTGCTCCTGCTCCTTCATTTGTTCCTTCAGCTTCTTGTAGACAGAGAGAAACATAAGCACAGGACAAAGGTGCAAGGATAATTTGTGTTTGTGAGGCAACAAGTGAATTTTAGACAGGGCAGGTGGATGATATAGAGCTGCTCACCACCCCCACTTCCTCACCCCCACCCCCCTCCTTGCAGTGCAACATGTGAGCATGAGGTGTAGGCCTACAACTGCACAACTGTGGTTTCAGTAATCTCTTACATTTAAAGTCGTCTACAAATTTAGGACATGTCTTTTTGTAGCAAATAGTAATAGTAAAAAAAATAAATAAAAGATGGTTTATCTGAGGTGATTGTTTCCAGCTACTATGACTTGTTACTGCTTGCCTTTTTTAATTCCAGGTTTTAAAATCTTACCTCATTCATTTTTTGACTTTAGATACAGTTCCAAAAATGATTTTAAACAAACCAAAATGAATAAATAATAAAAAACCTTTATCTGCAAATTTTACTTCAAGGTTAAGAAAACAATATTTTTCATGCCATATGATTCCCAAGTGTGCTTTACTCTCTTCAGGCAGAATCAGATAAATCCTGGTCATGCTTCATTACAAAACAAAAACATTAAAGACATTATGAGTGTTGTTTTCCAGTGACTGCCACTGTAAGAAGGCTAATTTCAACATCATCATCATTATTTATTTTAATTTGGTTGAGTTAATGTTTTACTTACTGTTACTGCATCAATGAATAGTGTAGTTAAAAGAGCAATATAGCAGTAAGCAAAGGTCTAACTAAGGTCATTGCACATACATGGCGTAGGTTCAGAAGGCTTAGGAGCAATGTTCCCTCTAAGCTGCGCACGTGCGCAATTGCGCACTGCTGGCACGGTCTCTGCACACAGAAAATCTGCGTTGCGCACAAAAAATAAAATCTAACCTGAATTGAAATTAAAATTAAAACTTTAACAATTCTGTTTTGTAGTGTTAGTCAGGAAGTGACTGGCTGCTCCCCTATGGGATTAGAACGATGCCACCTTATCCCATAGTCCAGCCAATAATGCGATTCACATTCGTATATACGCAGCTAATCAATGTCGTTGACAGACTATGACAGCGTCCTTATGTGCTGACACCGGTGCTTTAGCTAGCAAAGCGGCGTGGCTGATGTGGAGTGAAGCCACACAACGTGTACAACCATTGGAGATGGACTTTATATAAGTTTTTAAATTGTGTTGATAGGCCACGTAAAACCAGAGTTATGATAAAAATATCTGCAATGTTCGGTTTTCTTCCTGAATACTATCGTTGTTTATATTTACTGCGGGAAGAAACGGTAAAAACGGCGTTTTATAAGGAAAACGCTTGAAAGCGCTCTCCGCCTGTGAGCAAAAACAAAACCAAAAAACCCCACCCTTTCCTATTGGTCGAAAAAAGTACCATGTCGACCAATCAAAAAAAAAAGGCAAAAATGCAATTAAGTGGTTAAGAAAGGGGAAAATTTTAAGAAGGAACGGGGGGGTTTGAAAAGGGAAAAAATTGCAAAAGTTAACCCAAAACCTGGGGAAGTAAGGGGGAAGGGAAGCAAAATTTTTTATGTGTGTGTCAGAACAATGAGGCGACTGCTGACTGTTACAGCTGTTACAGTTCAAACAGGAGTTCAAACACAGAAGTTCTACTGAATGATAATCCTAAATAGAACAACACCTTGTTTTGTCTTGATAAATCACACTGTTACTCAGCTGAGTAAAGACATAAAGGCTTTACAGCTTTTTGCCCGATTTTTATTATTTTTATTTTAATATTGCGAGGGAAGTGGACACGGATCATGAAAATGTGGGAAGGTGATGTCCAGCTGACACTTTCATGTCTAAAAGGTAAACACGGTTTTCTCGCCTCAACAACCGCCAGGCTCCAGACCTCTGAGTCAAAATGAGTTTCCGGTGTGTACACGACTGGACACCCATGTTTC